GTGCCTCACCACCCTCATTGTAAAGACCTTCCTCGCATCTAACCTGAATTTACCCTCTTTCAGCATAAAACCATTCCCCCTTGTCCCATCACCACAGTCCCTCTCCAGCATCCTTCTAGGCCCCCTTCAGATACTGGAAGGCTGCTATGAGGTCTCCACGCAGTCTTCTCTTCTCCAGGCTGCACAGCCCCAACTTTCTCAGCCTGTCTTCGTATGGGAAGCGCTCCTGCCCCATTATCATCCTCACAGCCTCCTCTGGACTTGCTCCAACAGCTCCATGTCCTTCTTACTTTGAGGACACCGAAATTGCCCACAGTACTCCCAAGTGGAGTCTCACAAGAGCAGAGGACATGATGAACCTCCTTGGACCTGCTCATCACACATGTTGTAGTGGTAATTCTGGCAGCAGGCTGATGCCTACTGTGTAACTAGAGTAGGGGCACTCATCTTTGTGCCTTCTCCAGAGGTGGGACAATTAAAAGCTGAGGCTCCCAAAGATCATCACAGGCTTTCACAGTTAGAGGAAGCACAAAAGGGGTTTAAAAAGTTAATTGTGGAAGAAAATAAAAGAAACATCAGCCTTATTCCCATGGGAAATGACTTAGAACTGATTACAACTGATAGTTATACACCGAACAGAATAAAAAAAACCCCCAAAGAAACAACAGCCACCACACACTACCCACAACAACAACAACAACAACAAAAAAAAAATAATCAGAAAAGCAAATACATGGAAACCTAAGGCATTTAAAAAGAAAAAAGAGAAGACAGAAAAGCAAAAAGGCCAAACCCGTGTAAAGTTTAGAGCTAGAAATGGGGAGGAATAAGAAACGCCAAGAAACTTGGTAAGTCAATCTTTTTATTTTATAGAAAGTAGTTTGATCAGTGTGCTGAACCTGCCATTAGAGGTGGTTTTGCTATTTTAGTAAAAATAAACATTTGAAAAAATTACCTCGGAGAACATATCATCTCTGAGCTTATCTCCTTTTAATCACTGTTACTTTTTTCATACCTATTCCAACTAATCTAACAGTGCTCTTAAGAGGAAGGGAGTGCTACCTAATGTAGCATATCTCAACAGTTTATTTCCTGTAACTGGTAGTGAGGTTTCTAAATGCAGTAGAACATGTATAAGCTCACCTTGCGCCACAGCAGCATGGTACAAAATCTGCATCTATTCCACTCTCCATCTTTCTTCATAAACATCCTGCAACATCAGCTGTCAACTGAGAATTTTCTGGTTAAAAGTAACACAGCAAGCCAGTTTAAGTACCAAGATGGCCAGTTTTAACTCTCACAAGTTACAAAGTAATGGGATCATAAACCTGTTTGAGGTAACTGAATTGGCAACGCAAGAATGACACGCTCTGATTGCATTATGCATTGCTACATAGACAAACATCTCACAACTGCTAATCTATGGTATTTTAAAAGGGACATTATCAACTACAAGCTGTTTTGCCTGGACATGGAATTATTGTTAATTAAGCACTGGTAAATGAAAAGTTTAAGTTCAATTTGTGCACATGACTACTTCGAGCACAGAATCCCTCTGTGTAGCTGCTGTTACCCTTTTGTTTGAGTAACTTGCATAGCAACAGGGAGAAAGCATTAACTGCTGGAGGGCAGAAATCACTGGAAAATTTTAAGGGCTGCAGCAGGAAGAGTTCTGAGTTCAGTTTATCCCCAATGACTAGATTTAAAGTTGAGAATGTCCCTTTAAAAGTTTCAGATACAACAGAAGTTAACTGATTCCATCATTACAAGAAAGCTACCAGTAATACGACTTACAATAATTGTTAAATGCCAATAAACATTATACAAGCAAGCAACTCATTTTTAAATGAAGTAGCAGCAACATGGAACTCTAGAAGGTTGAGTTTCTGCAGATTTATTAGGTAGATTATGAAGGTGTGGCAAATACATCTTGATTTTACATAATTTCATTTTGAGAGTAGCTTATGGTAACTATAAACATTATTGAAAAACACCTGCTCACAGTCAGTACTTTTCTGGTATAAGCCTAAATTTGCCAGGATTAGTCATAGTGCAGCTCTACTCAGAAAAAAATGACAACATTGTATGTCTTGGCAAATTACACATAAAATCTGCTCAGTTTGCTGATAAGACAGTTTTTTGTGATTGCCAGTACAATAAACTGAGCTTGAAATACTAAAGCTAAAGAGATATAAATATTTAAGGACAAAACATCAAGGAAGGACATCATAATTATATAAATGTTGCCATGATATTTGCATGTTTTTCTTTTTTGAATGTAACTTTATTAGTTCAGTGGGTGCATAACACTAATGCATGTAAATAAGCAGCAATATAGTCAGGGTTTCAGCTGATTCTCAAGGAGTGTGCTACTGTTAACTCCATTGTTTTCCTTCTTTGATAAGAATAAGGAATATTAGAAACTCAGCCACTGAGCAGATATGACATACACATTGGGCAAGTCTGTTTTGTAAGGTGGTATCACTTTTAGTCAGTCACTTTTCTGGTCCACCACTGTACTTAAACTGTTTTGATATCAATATTTATGTCAATGTGTGTCATAGAACAATTATGATTACACTTAACAGCTGTACCAGTTTGAAATGCTGTCACATGTTTCTTCATGGCAAAATGTTCACATTCTTTTTATTGCACAATTTGAAAATTCAGGTTATGTGCATAAAACCCTTCATAGTGTTTGCACTGCAACCTGCGAAACATACATTTAAAATGACCTTAATACGTTTTACAAAATCTTTTTAAACAATTTTATATTCTTAAGAGAAAAGCATCCTGAGAATGTTACAAAGTTCGTTTTACAAGCCCTTCATTTCTGCTAAGCTTTATTTATCCCCATAGTTCCTAATTTGACAAGTTTATTTTACAGTTAATATCTTGCTGCTCTATTTCACAAAATATCTTTTAGCAAAAAGTACATCATCGGCATTCAAGTAATCCAGCCTCACATCTAATTTACAAATTACACCTTTGTCAGGCTCTCAAGTCAGGAAAAGTAAACCAAAATACTTATAGAAACAGTTTTAAGCTGACTTTAAAAAAAAAAGTAAAGGCTTTGTGCATTAATAATTTGGTCAAACATTTAAGTTATGCAGTTTAATATTTTGGCAAAAAACAAAACAAAACAAACAAACAACCCATCTATCCTTTCCAAAATATTTTGTCTTTCATTTTACACCAGATGTAAACATACAGTACAAAGACAGTGTTAAAGTACTTTGCTGTTGAAGTTTTTTACTTTTTCCTTTTTTTAAAGTACTTAGGAAAAGCAGACAAACAAGAACCTAAGTGCTAAATATGAACTGAATATCTTTGGGCTAAATAAATGTCTTAATGGAAAAAATGTGAAAATAAATTATTTTTTCCCCTCTACAGACATGTAAATAAATAATCTTTGAAGAAATTCTAGTGCCATATCCTAAAGCAGTATCTTCCTGCATCTTTTTGATCAAGACTAAAACTTCATACAGTCTTGACTATTTTACTAGGAAGATATATGTTAATATTTACAGATATTTGTAAAGGGAGTGTTCAGGGTTAAAAATATATTTCTTTTTAAAAGGTAAGCCTGCCATCCTGATGGCAGTGATCCAAGCTATAGAACAGAAGACAAGTCACAGAACATCCTTCGGTTTCTTATACCCTAGATCAGAGGAAAGAGATCAGGCAAGTTAGAGAGGAAAACAGCCTGGATTCCAGGAATGGAGACAGATAGTGGTTTGTTACATGAATGCTTGCATGGCCAGGACTATCTACTCATACAGGCTTTCTCTTCTACACATAAGTAAAATTTTTTATTGTTAGCTGACTAAAGTTGAGAAGAGAGATAGTTACAATAGTTGCCACAGTGAAAGAGTAACATTATCTGAAGGTTTCCATCTGGACAGAGGCCATGCCCAAGGTGGGAGTGTAACTACCTCAAAAGGAAGAGTAAACCACCTCAGCAACATCTTAATAGTATTATAACTATATAATTTGGAGTCATATATAGCTTTCATTTTAGGCAACAATCAAAATCTGAAGAACCTTGTTAATCCTTAAGGCATCAGTGCATCAGGGACTAAAAGCTTCAGGTAATAAATATGGGGGCAAAAAAACCCAAAAAGTGCATCTTTCTGGCACAAGCTATCATTGTGTATCTGCTTTGTTGGCTAGTTCCAGGAAAAGTACTTTCAGGGATGGTAGACGGGGAATGTTATACACTGTTCTGAGAAAAAATATTACATCATAAATTTCACATCATTTTTTAACACATCATTTAAAGGGCTTAATCTATCAGGCAAGATCCTCATCTTTACTGTTCCATCAGCACCACAGGAGAATATGTGATTCGCTGGTCCTGTCTCAATTTGCATGACTCCTGTCCCAATGTTTCTGAAGAGAGACTGTCGAGCATGCTCATTGATGAAAGTGTGAAGAAGATTAAATGTAGACAGACTCCATACCTGAAAAAGCATCAAAACATCAACTTCTTATAAGGATAATTACCATGATCTTAAAATTCACCAGTAATAAGTAATGGAGAAATTGGACTACACTTTGCATTCATTTTTCTGACATTAACTGTAAATGAAAAGACACATAGTAATCTGCAATGACACAGTTATACAATATTAATATATTCATTTTCTATAATAAATATATATGGGAACTAAAGTAAGACTAACTAGGAGGACCGTGAGACTAAAATTTCATAATTACATTAGTAACAGTGAAAAGCCAGGGTTGGGAAAACATGTCAGATTTGCTTATTCCACACCTATGCAAGAGTCTTTTTGAGTTTACACTTCATCACCAGCTGTTCCCTTCCCCTCATTAATACCTTTATGTTGCCTTCAGCAGATCCTGTGACAAAATACTCTTCCGTGGGATCAACAGCAATCGCTTTGACTGGAGAATCATGACTCTGGAGTAACTGTTGCTGCTGTTTTTGTCGAAGATCAATTATACATGTAAAGCCTTTTCTGCCTCCAGAGATTAACAGCTGATGTTTTGGAGCATATGCTAACACAGTCGCTCCACTATCATGACAGATAAAAGCTGAAAGCCAAAGCAAAGTAATTTAAATAAAACGCACAGTACTAACTTCAATTTGCCATCAACCTCTAATGTTTCGAGACAGTAGCAACAGTTACTTTAATAATCCAATTGACCACAACCAGTCCATTTATTGCAGTACCATATATATTAAAGCCCAGGTTCACATCAGACATCTTGAAGCTTCAGTATTCTCAAGCAGTTGCAAACTGTACGAAAAAAAGAATTATATCCTTTTCTCCGTCCTTGTGTAATCACAAACTATTAGGCCTTGACCAGAAACAGATTCTTTTCAAACTCTCTAATGCTTGCTATTTTAAGGCATATGTTTCCCATAAAAGATGTCCTCCTAAATCACTTGCCCAAATATCTTGCAAGTTTCAAATGTCTATTTTACTTTTAATTTGCTGCTTTTCACATTTGTTTGGATATATCTACTCTCCAAAAAGAATGGATAAAGTGAATGAAGATTACAACTAACAGAACAAAGTTCAGTATACCTAAGACTGGACACTGAATCCCAATACACGGCATGTAATACAATACTTGTAGTTCAAAAGGTTCTCTAAATTTACGTTTCAAAATTCGATACACCTTACACATACACTTAAGCATCCAAACACTTCGTTACAAGGAATTCACAATTCTCTCTGAGCTTAATTCTGTATTTCACTCATATTTCTTTGCCACTGCAACAAAATACTAATATAGTTAATGAAATCCTGTTAAGTATTTACTAAATCTGGAAAAAGCATACTTATAGCAAAAATTCTTCCAAAGCACTTTTTGCAATACTGTATGTATTACAAAATACGTATGTACGTAGATATCTATACATGCACACAGAAAGAAAGCATTAAAAACATTCCACAGTATTTGGCAGAATACACAGAATAAAAGAGAAATAGAACTGGACAATCTTTGAAAGCAAAAATGCACAACTTCACAAATACAGCAGTTAAGTTTACCTTTTACTTCAACTCTGAAAACTACTATATAATTATGAGATTTTTTTCTACAGCTGCTTGTGCAATATATTCATAAAAATCAGTTAATGTTTTCTAGAAAGTTTGGTGGATTTATTCATATAAAAACACCAATTTAATGTATTCATTTTATTCATATCTTCAGAGAACTGTTTTTATAATCATGGCTTCTTTGAGGATGGGATTTTCACAGAGGCAATGAAATGCTCAAAGATTCATAAAAAACATGCCCTTGCACATTTTCCAAACACATAACGTAGCTGCAATTGCCTAGTGCTATCTTTATAGCACCATTATTTGGTCTAACACTTAACTAATAAATTTTAAGTGGGACCTCCCTGATTTATGAACATAGACACAGCAATAGGAACCTTAAATTGAAGGGTGTGAATGCGTATTCTGAAAATATGTATCTCGTAACCGTGCTAAAAAACGTAGCTTCTGCAATGTTGGAGCTCTTGTCTTTTCAACATGCTAATCACTACACACAGGAGTTGCTCACAATCTTTTAAAAAGGAACAGAAATCACAGAAGTCTGGCTGTCAAGGGTTGCACTTGTGGTGCAAAGGTACAAGGTATGCAAAGGAAGGTGTACATGTCCATGAAACTAACCATTTACATAAAGCGCTAAATTTCTCAAGAACCTATTTTTATATTCCTGCTAAACTCAGGACTATGAAAGATGTTCCACTGTTAATATTGAAATTACTTTCTACAATAACTTTTCCGTATATATAGACACAATCACGGTGTGATTAAATATTTTACTGGTTTTATTTAATTTTACTTACCATGCACCAAGCTATTTGTAGGTGAAACCAAAGTATCCCAAAGGCAAATATTTCTGTAGGAAAAGAAACCACAACAACAACAAAAAACCCGAAACATTTTCATTCAGCAACAAATGCTCTGAAGTATTTTGAACACTTTAAAAGTCATCCGAACATTAAAGATTGTTTCAGGCATAAAAGCACTGTAAGCAGACTTCCCATAATAACTTTTGAGCAGACTTCAAATTACTTTTGTAGTTGTACAAATACTGTGGGAACATGTGCTCTACACAACCATTCCATGACTAGTTTTTCCCATAAAGGATTCATACTGAGATTAGTTTTTTGTAGATGAATTCACCTGAATGTTTCCAGGTTTTGCCATTTTTTGATCAAAACTTACATAAGAAAATAAGCGTGAAATGTAGATCTGTGCCAACTCCCTACATCTATAGAAGTAACTTAACACAGGCTTGTACGAATAGAACAGAATAGTTCAGTTGGAAGGGATCTATAACAATCATCTAGTCCCATTCCCTAGCCCTTTCAGGGCTTACTAGAGATTAAAGCTTGTTATGAAGGACATTGTCCAAATGCCTCTTAGACACTGACAGGCTTGGCACATAGTCCTTGACCACCCTCTCAGTAAAGAAATGCTTTCTAAAGTCCACACTAAACCTCCCTGGCACAGCTTTGAACCAATCCCATACATCCTGTCACTGATTACCAGGGAAAGA